ATCATTAATTGAAGCAAAATCAAAAGCAAATATTGCCATGTATAGGTCAGATTTTACTGATGACGATGAAGTAATCAATCAGAATAAACTATACTCATCCACAAAATTAAATGCATCAATGCCTCTGTTTTCTGGTAATGTTGTAGTATTTGCATTTATAAATTCTTTTATTGATAATTTACCTTACGCTTTACCTATAGATTCAAACAATGACGAATCTATGATGACAGTTTCTAAAAAACCATTTATGTCTTTGAAATGCGAATCTGCAGGTTCAAACCAGACAAGAAAACTAAAACATGGTTGGTCCCCATCTCCAAACAAATTAAAATGTAATTATTTCATTTTATTAAAATTTCAATACCTTCTAATAATATTTAACTTATTTTAAAGCATTAAAAACTCGTGTTGAGTCACAAGAAGTTGCTATTTCTCCATCAAGTACCTCAAAATTTCATCCTGGTATACATATTATACATTTAAATATAATGAGTTATTTTCGTTGTAATTATTTCAAGTTTATAAATAAACAAATACATTTTTCAGAAAAAAGTTCTACAGCTAGAAAACTTTCTTTTTTACACGTATCTGAAATTTTTGATTCCAAAAAAATTAAAAGTAAGTTAATTAGATAAACAGAATCAAATATCAATACCTAATTAATATACAAAAATTATTATTGTATCTTATTTAACAATATAAATACATTTTTGCTAAAATTTTAGATCTACCTATTCAGTCTAATATTGAAAGAATAATTTCTAATGACATTCAAGAACAAGATCCTGTTTCTTTAAATAATAATAAGTCCAACATCTTAATTGATGATATTTCTAATGGTGAAGTAACTGCAGGTATATATAAAAACATTTTTTTCATGAATAAAAACTAAATATTACCTAATTAGTTGCCTCTAATTATTTTATTATTAGGTAAATTTGATCAAAGTTTGGGAACAAAAGATACAGTATCAAGTGTTACTTCTAAAAATTCTATTGCTTTGCCCGGTAATATAAATATTTTAACCTTTTAGTTATAAACTATTATAAAAATTTCCCTTTTTGCTTTATAACAGATGGTGGTTTTCAAAATAATATCATGCGTAATATGGCATTTTTAAAAATGGAATTACGACAAATTCAAAATAACCAAACGGTTATGTTTGAACACTTCGAATCAATAATAACCCACTTACAAGGCAATAATGCTTATACTAATAATAAAAATAGTTTGACTCAATATGATTATCATGATTGCCCATTACCATTAGATAATATTATTGATTTAAACACTGTAGAAGATAAAATTGCTGGCGATCATCAATTTAAATCACTTTTGGTAATTATTATTGCAATTTTTATATTAAAATTAATTAACTTAATATGTGTTGAATGTATTTATATTTTATATTTAAGGTTAACGAGCTTTCATATATTGGTGGAAAACATGTAAAAGCTATGGTTAAAAGACTTATGTCAAAATTGTTTACTGACAATCTTTTATCTGATTATTCTTATACTGGTAAAAAGGGTAAAAAACCATTCTCAACACTTTTCATTTGTTCAGTTATATTTGGTAGGTATCAACTATAATAATATATTATAATTATAATTTTAGCAGTGACAATGAAAATATATAATTTTCATTTGTTTCTAATTTAATATTATTTATAGTTAATATTTTAATTTAGCATGTTTATTATTATTGTATATGTTTTTGTAGAAGCCCCTCTTCGTATTGTTAGTTTAATACATTATTACAATTTTATCATTTTTTAAGTTTTCTCTGTATTATTAATTAGCCTAAGTAATTATTAAATTTGTGTTGTTTCTGTCTTGCAGCTATACAACATGGACAATTTTATATTCACAATAATGAGCTTTACTTTGTTATTTTTAAAATGATAGTAAACTGAATTAAATATATAATAGTGTGTTATACAGGGTATCTTTGAAGCTTTTATTGATATTTTAATTGCAAAGCAAATTATAAGCATTTTAAACATTTTTAGAAATTTTAAAATGATCATAAATTGCTTCATTATTAAAAAATCAAATTAAAAAGCCTCTGATGCCCTATATATATATATATATAGTAATCTTACCTTAAAATGTTAAATAAGTCATTCACTCTAATTAAAAAAAAAAAAAAAAGCAGTGAAAAGCGTTTTTGTGAATGTACAATTTGTTATTCTTTATTGCTTCTAAGACAGAGACAACATATATTATGCAGGTTTGGAGATATCTTAATGTTTGTTATATAATTGTAATTGTTGATCTTGAGTAAACTTTTATATAGAAATCTAATAAAAATAGTAAAATAAATAAGACTATAATGATAAAGTAATATTAATTATATTGTATATATAATACAGTATCATAAATGGAAAGAGACCTTAGAAGACTCTATATATATTTTTTAAAATGATATATAAAGACTATATAATTAATATTTTTTCTAATTGTACGATGCTATTAAAAAACAAGTTAAATTCTCAAATATTCCTAAAAATGAAATTGAAGAAACAATCAAACGTGTATTAGCTCAAGCTCCGTTTAACATCAAAAGACAACAGGACAAAACAACCATTGTACGATCAGTTTGAATAGCTTGATCATATTATTTAAACACATTTTTTTTTAAATTAATTTTTTGAAATCTTTGATAATATTTAATTCTTAAATTACTCATT